CAAACCCATCCACATATGTATATACCTACGGTGGCAAGGGAGAGTGGCAAAACATTAACAATTTGGTGTATCAAAAATTTATGTTTTAATTCTACATTTTATACAAATTTTTTATGTTGAACGATCGAATAGTCCTAATTCATGTAGACTGAAGAGAAATTATAAATCTCAAATAACAAAGGCACAATACATTTCTCTCTCTCAAGAATGCTGCTACATTCACAGATCAAAGGAGACTCAAGCCACTTAAAACCCACCCAGTGCCACTGAGTCGATTACAATTTATAGGGACCCTGTAGGACAGAATAGAACTGCCCCATAGGATTTCCAAGGCTGTAAATGTTTATGAAAGGAGACTGCCATATCCTTCTCCTGCAGAGCAGCTGGTGGGTTTGAACTGACAACCTTTCTGTTAGCAGCCAAGTGCTTAATCACTGTACCACCAGGACTCCTTTCAAGCCACTTAAAAGAGGCTTTTAAAATTAATGCTGATACACTCTAGAATGGGCATAAGCACTTCATTTAGTCCAGTGTAGACTGGAGGCAGATAGTTTATTACCTGCCTGCTTACTCCAAAGCTGAAGAAGATTAGCAGGGAAAGAAAATCCCAGCACATCCTGGGCCTGTAAACCTTATTTTTACAAAAGAACTGAAAATCTACTTCTTCCTTTAAAAGTTATTTGAATTCAGAAAGAATCATCAACTCTATCTGGGCTGCAACTGCATTTTTTAAAGCCTGCATAAATCAAATATAATTCTTGGCCAACGTTTCCCAGCAAAATCACTTAGTCACCCTTAGGACTGACATAAGCCCTAAAAGGATGGGTAAGAGTTTACATTTAATTCTCAGGGCATCATTACTGATTGTGTAAATTACAAGATTTTTCCAAATGCTCTATGCCTAATTTTTATTTCTTGGTCTTTAAACATGTTGTTCCACTTATCCCTAAATATGATGATGATCTTCCAAATCACCCCAAGAATCTGGCCACTCAACATCCACAAAGCAAAAATTTAAATGAAGGTCTCTTTTTACATAAACACACACACACCTATTCCATCTCCATTTGTAGAAAAGGTGATGTATAAAAATACAAAATTTAAAAAGATACTGAAAATACAACACTTATATGGTCAATAACTGAATACTTTCAAATACACTGACCAGAATATAAACAGGCAACAGAAAATGTATAAATAATATATACAGAACTGTTTCTTGCATTATTTATAGATGAATGGCAAACAGATAAGAGGAGAAAGAACTTTTTTTAATTTTATTTTGTCTTTGATGTTGTTGAAGATATACACAGCAGAACATACACCAATTCAGCAGTTGCTACATGTCCAATTAAGTGACACTGATTATATTCAAGTTGCACAACCTTTCTCATCCCCCTTTCCTTAGTTGTTCCTTCCACATTAACATAAACACTGCCCCCTAAAGTTCCTATCTGATCTTTTGAGTTGCTGTTGTCAACCTGATATCATACAGATAGTTCTTAAAAGAGCATAATGCTCAAAAATGACATTTTTTACTAGTTAAGATAAATTATTGTTTGGCTTATAAGAAGACTTGAGGGGTATTTTTGGTTCAAGGTTTAAAGACAGGGCAGAAATCTTAAATCATTCTCAAACAAGGAAAACCTTGGTGAGATTCACAAGGTAGTAAGTGAGAGAGTTATAGAAAAAAAACATTAATCAAGTGAATAGGTTCTTTAGAGAAAAATCAGACTAATGATCATAAATAC